GCCCCAGCTGCTGCTGTCTACCTGCCTGCCCAGCATGCAGTGCCAGCCTGGGGGATGGAGTTCAATTCCGTGGTACCAGGTAGGTGGACGGGTAGGGCTGCTTCTGCCCAGTGCTCCCCACCACACCAGCAGAAGCTGGACCCCGGCCAGCCCACCCACCCGCCCGGCACCACGCAGCAGAGTGGGGCAGGTTAGGAGGGGAACTGAGCCCCCTGCCCTGACCCTCCCCAACCAGGGGTAGCACAGCAGGTGGGGGGGAGGCCAAAAGATGGAGGCATTCCTCCCTTCTTCCCCCCATGCAGCCTGGCTCCACGGGGCTGCAAATACCACAGCCCCACCCCTGGCACAATGTGACTCTCAGCCCCATTCCTGGCTTCCAGTGTCAGCCAAGCCGAACAGGAGCCACGCAGCCCTCAACAGCTCATCAAATTCGTTAAGTGGCCCTCCAGCCCAAATAATTGTCCACCCCTGCTTTAACCTGAAGTTCTATCTTTATAAATTATCAAGATGCTTCTGGTTTCATTCCAAGATGCCATTTCAACTTTGTCTTGCACAGCCCTTCTCTAGCTGTGCAGGACGGGTGCTTTTAAATAAGTAGGGCTGCTCCACAGTCAGGGACAACTCTCTGCTTGTCCCTACCATAATGAACTATAAGTTCACATGACAGTACATCTGTTGTCCCCAGCATTTCCGCTGGCACTTCCCACTCTAAGCTGATTGCCCTAGAGGTAGAAGTGGGTTATCTTATCAGAGAGGGTGATAGCAGGATACTTTCTCTCTGACACAGGCATTACTTTTTCAGGATGTGAACACCTGCAGAATGACCATGGAGTGATAGTTGATTACAATACCTCTGATCCACTGATACGCTGGAACTCCTATGAAAACATGAGCCCAGATGGGGAAGGTAAGTAACTCAGTCTTGCCTCTGAAATTCTGTTATGAGAGAGCAAGACAGTCTTTGGCAACTGCAAACTGCTTAGTGGAATAGGAGGAGGGGAGAGCTCCTGTGCTCAAACCAAGGCAGTTCTGTCGTTGTGGGAGCTGGTTGATTCTATTAGCCCTTTGGCTCTTGCTGTAGTGACGGTATGGTCTTAAAAGAAGGAAAGACATGTAATGGTTATATGGGCCTTGTTTGTCTCTTGTAGGCAGCTGGTTGGTTAAATTTGCTGGTTGACACACTGAATTAAAAGATTTTTTCCCTGACACTGGTTTTGGCACCATAACATATTGTACCAAGTTCATGGATTTCAGTAAGAGCATTAATACTATGTTGTCTAGAACACTGCAGAACATACCCCAGGCTGTAGGGAAGTGGGTACCTGGCCAGTGGAATATACATGGTGGCTTTCCTTAGTAAAATTACAAATCTGTAAAGTGCCAGTGGTTTCTTTATGTGCAAGTCTTTCATTGCTGCAAGTAAAAACATGAGAGGGGGAGATAAGGAGTGAATAGATACCAAAGTCTCTGTTTTCATAATACTCCCTTACAAAACAAGAAGGGAGCAGAGCTAGTGCACACAAAGCAAAGATATTTACACCGTGGGGTCAGTACACATCTTTTTTAATTTTTAAGAATTAGTGTTGACTAAGAGGACAGATAGAGAGAGAGGTCTTTGCATAAGTGTATCTCTGAGGATTGGGTATGTACAAGAAGCTTTTCTCCACCATAGTAGAATTGCATAAGGATGTCCCATTTAGCCAATCCTATGCTCTAGGACTGTTTGCCCCTCCTTCCCTATGGAGAGGAAGCCAGCATAAAAGGGACAAGACTGAAAACAGGACCATAGTTCTACCTGTCCCTCTATGCAGTTCCACAGAGCAGGCTTTCCAGGGACTTGAGCAGGGTAGAGTAAGATCACAGTTAGATGCCTGTGCACCACTTAGGGCTAGTCTGCTCTCTGTCAGCAGTGGCTCCTAATGGGGAAAGAATGGCGCATACCTCACCCCTCCATATCTTCAGGCATGCTCTGCATCTGGAAATGCATCAGTCAGTCTGCTCCAGGGTTGTCCCTCTGCACCTCCAGAGACTGAGGGCCAAGGGCAGAGCAGTCTCTATGATGTATTTCCAGGTATAGATCCTGCCTGCCAACCTGAGTGGGCAAAACATGCTCATCCATGTCCTAGCAAAACATCATTGCTGCAGTATAGACAGGCCTTTGGATGTCTAATAGATAGAATGGGATCTATGCCTTGGTGTCTAGGGGAAGCTTAGCCTGCCTCACTCTTCCTTGGGAGACAGTAGAGCTCTATGTGAGATATGCATTTGCCTAGACCTTGTGCCATTTTATATTATACTTTATTCTTGTGCATAACATACTTTATTCAAACAGCAGAACAAACAGTGCTTTCTTCATAGTCATCATGGTCATCATAGGTAGCAGACTCCTAAGGGAAGGAACTGCTGGATTTAAACCCATGGGTCTATCTGGTGAGCAGTCAGTACAACAAATGCTGTAGTCTGGGACCCAGACTAAGAGAGGGAAAATTTCAGGTTCCAACCCTGGAAAGGGCTAAGACCTGAAGCCTGACACCTGTGAGGGGAGTGTCCAGAGAGCCCTGTGTGTGTCCCTGGTGGGAAGAGCTCTTCTGTTTGTGTGATACTTTTGTTTGAAGTCTCATGCCCCTATCACTGAAGAGTAGCTATCTTCAGCTGAATTCTGTTTTAGTCCTAATCCCATCCTTAGGACATTTTCCTTCTTCCTGCACACACACACACACACACACACTGAAGTCATTAAGAGTGGCCTGTGAGGTTGGGTGGCAGTACCTATAGGTTGCTTATATCTATTAGGTTTTTCTGAGACCTTTTGCATAGCTCTGCATTTTGGTTGCAGGGGCACAAGATGAGGAGGAGGTGATAAAAACACTTGAACCCAGAACCTACCATATTGCTTAGACATAGCTAGATGAAGGGTTCAGAGGAAAATCACCTCCCTAATTCTTCCTGTCCTTGCTAGTGGTTAGCAGGAAGGGGTCTACCTATGTTTAGAATGGGAAGATTATGCGCACATCTAATCCTGAATGGTTTGAAATCTTTGTCCCTTCTCCAGAAGTTTCTAGAAGGTTCTGGTGGCTAGAAAGCAAATAAGCAATTGAAAAACATTTAGTGTTTCTTCACAGGGATATGCTCGTTTTTCTCTTAAGAGTCCTTGCTGAGCTACTTGGCCCTATCTACTGTAACAAGAGTTCTCCATAGTAGGTACAATACTTTAACAACTTATTTCAGGCTCTCACTACCTTCTTATTTTTCAGACTCCCCACATCTGGAGACTTGGAAGTCTCCAGGCCTGGGAGACTTATGTTTTGAGAAAGGCCTGGAAGACTTGTGTTGGGAATTCAAAATGCTGTAGTTGAGAACAGCATTTGGGAATTCAGTGGTAGATTTTTCAGAGTTGTTTTTGCTGTAATTAGACTATCAATGATGGATGGCATCATTTGATGGAAACCCTTCAGAGAATGTGTGTATGTTACTGTGATATGAATTTTTTGGTCATTTGTCTTTACAAGTCTTGACCAATATTCCATTCTGTAGAAAACATCAAGATCCCCAAAGCTTATTCATATCTTGAAAATAAAAAAGTAAGTATCCATCAGAGAGCTGCCCTCCTTTTAAGTTGCAGAAGTCCTATGAGCACACAAAACATTCTGTTACCCTCTACTGCAGTGGTTCTCAACTTTGTTAGACTCGAGGCATCCCTCGGAAAATGCCAGCTCTGTTTTCAACTACAGAAAAATAGTACAGTAATTTTTCTGTTACAAAGATCTCGGAAAGATGATCACAACAGGTCAAAATTATTTTGATGCTATGGATTCCTATTTGAAATCTCTGGGTTTACCTTGTGAACTATATTTGCATACCCAGCAGTGCTGGCATTGTGCAGCACCCTTAAAAGGATCTCAAGGCATCCCAAGTTGCCACGACATACTGGTTGAGAATCACTGCTTAGTGATTTTAATACATCTCTACTCCATGTGGCAACTACAATAGCTGCCTGTCCTGCATATCACCCACCAGCATTACTTTCAGTTAGCCTTCTGTTTTTCTTGGTGGTTAAACCTGCTTTTGTCTTCTTTAATATTTAGATTACATGTGGGGGAAGGGGACTGCCTTTTATGCTCTAGTTAAGTGGGGGGCCATTCCTGTTTGGACCTCATAGATGATATTGTAATAGAAAACAGTGATAGCAATAATGGTTCATGATCTGGGATTCACACAAGGGTTCTGGGATGTACCACTGGGTAATTACCAGGCTTCCTGCCATCTATAGCGTGTTTCGTAGCTTCCTTGGTTCTTGTTTATCCCCACAGCGGCTTTTTTTTTTGTTGCTAAAGATGGTTGGGAAATGGTTAAAGTTCAAATAAAATGCATGTTTTGCTTGTATTCTCTTTTTTGTGGAAAATCCGAGTGGCATTTTTAATGTGATTTTGAAACATTGAATCACCACAATTCTTAAGGTTTTTTTTTTTAAAAAGCCTAGGAGCTCCTCAAGAAAAGACGCTTCAAGTTAAGTTTTTTTTTAATGGGAGAAGGTTGGGTTTTTTTTCACTGAAATGCCATGTAGACTACTTTTTGGACAGCTCTTGATTTTTTTATTTTTTTTTATCCTGTCAGTAACAGTGTTCAGGGCTGTTACTCACTGTACACCACATGGATCAGTCCCTGAGCAGGACCTTCAAATCTACTTAAAATGGACACTCTTTTGAGATGCAGTTTATCTTTTAATTCTGGCTTTGTATAGATACTACAAACTAGGTCCTAGGCTACAGCTGGAGGCTCCTTGAGACTATTAACATTGTATAATAAATACAACTCACTGCCCAGAAGCAAATGTCTCTCTTGGTGGAGAATAAGGGAAAATTAAAGGAGACTCTGGCTTTATCAGCAGCAGGGTGG